TCTGTTCTTAGGTTCTTACCCAAAAACCTTTCAGCACCCACTCCCACTGTGGCAGGGAGAGCTGTAAAAGTCTTCACCACAGAAGCTCCTCAGTGATCAGATCACAAGGACAAAACAAAACCTCTTCCCTAGCACAGAAGCATCTGCTCATAGTTAAGAGTGAGACTAATCACTGCTGAGCTCTGTTTACTGTCCATGCTGGGAGCAGTTCTGCTCAGGGAGTCTCTGAAGCAGAACAAAGGCAGCAGCAATCCCTTGGGAGCAGCTCAGAGCCTGAGGCCTTGATGATCTATTGATTTAATGAACTGCATTCAGTCCTGGCAGGGCAGCTGGACCCTGCACAGAGCCCTGCAGAGCTCAGCAGCCCCACAGGGTGCCAAGCAGAGCAGTGCAAGGACAAGGGTCCTCCCACAAGGTGAGGGACCAGCTGCACCACCAGTGAAACCCTCCTGCCAGTTTTAAACTTGGAACGGGGAGAGAATCTAGTGGAGATTATCTAAAATGCTGGGAGCAAAAAGCACGGCTCTCTGATCCAGCTCCACTCCTACTGACTGAAATTAATTACTTGTTAATCACAAGTTAATTTGTCAGAAATGCCTTCATTTTCCCCTGGTATCTCAGCACTTGCCCATTGCTAAACGCTGTGTCAGGCAGTGGGGGCTGGGGCTGGGGTGTCTGCAGGAGCAGGAGCCTGACCAACCCCAGCAGCACTTGGAGCCTTGGACACAGCTCAGGGACATCAGGATAGAGCATCTGCCAGACTTTTGTGTGCTGCCTGTGACCTGCTCTGCCTGGTCCATCCTCCATGGCCCTAACTGGAAGACTAAGCTTCAGTGACCAATAAACAAACCTGTCCCTTTGCTAACAGCCATAGATTTTTTTTCTCTCAGGTCTCTTCAAACTGCCCGTGTGGTGTCTTCACACAGCACATGGTCCAGCTGCGTTCAGAGCTGGGCCCTCAGGACAAGAAGGACCTGGAGGGGCTGGAGCGTGTCCAGGGAAGGGCCCCGGAGCTGGGGAAGGGGCTGGAGCAGAAGGAGAAGGGGCTGGAGAACTTGTGAGGAGCAGCTGAGGGAGCTGGGGGTGTTGAGCCTGGAGCAAAGGAGGCTGAGGGGAGACCTGCTGGCTCTGCAGCTGCTGAGAGGAGGTTGGAGCCAGGGGGGTCGGGCTCTGCTCCCCAGGAACAAGGGACAGGACAAGAGGGAACAGCCTCAAGTTGTGCCAGGGGAGGTTGAGGTTGGATCTGGGGAACAATTCCTGCCTGGCAAGGGTTGTCAGGGCCTGGCCCAGGCTGCCCAGGGCAGGGGGGGAGTCCCCATCCCTGGGGGGGTTTCCAAGCCCTGGAGATGGTGCTGAGGGAGGTGGTTTAAGCACTGAATTCAGTAGAGTTGGGTTATGTTTGGACTGGATGTTCTCAAAGGTCCTTTCCAACCAGAACAGTTCTGTGTTCTGGTCATCATGGTGGAGCACACACACGTCCTACCCAGAGCAACAAGGAATCACCAGGCTCAAACCACAGAGGTCAGCACAGGCAGGAATAAAGGGCCTGAGCCAAAAGGCATCCTCCAGTGACCAGCACGGAGCAGTGTCTGTCTCTGAGCACCCAGAGTACCTGTTCTGAACTGGGAATGATGCCATGGGTACCTGTCCCAGCACAGCTCAGCAGTGCCACAAGCCTCCTGCCCCCCGTGCAGGGCCAAGGGCCCTGCTCATCTCCCAGGAAAGCACAGGAGCTCTCCTTGCTGCTCCTGGGGCTGTTGCCACAACAGCCTCAATCCCGTGGGAATCTCCCCCCGCGCACACGTGAGCAGCTGAGGGGGCTCTGGGACCCCCTGCCCAGGGGCAGAGCAGATCCCAGGGCCTGGAGTCCCTGTCCTGGGGGCACGGGGCTGGCACCTGCTCCAGCAACAACAGGACTGCAGGAGGAGGAGGAGGAGGAGGAGGAGGAAGGCCTCCTGCCCACCAGCGAGCTGGGGCTCACAGCACCGCTCTGGCTGCTGCAGCTCAAAGCTGCAACCACAGGCAGGGTGAGCACCAGGACCTGCTCACCATGGAATTGCTCCCCAGGAGGGTGGGGAGAGCCTGGCCCAGGCTGCCCAGGGAAGCTGTGGCTGCCCCATCCCTGGCAGTGTTGAAGGGCAGGTTGGATGGGGCTTGGAGCAGCCTGGGCTGCTGGGAGGTGTCCCTGGAGGTTGGAACCTGATGAGCTTTAAGGTCCCTCCCAACCTCAACCTTTCTATGATTCTATGACCTGTTCAAAAGAGGGGACAGAGTTGGGAGTTCATCCGAATGGGGAAGGATGGTCTAGAGGGCCCCCAGCCCCATGACTGAGCTGTCCCCACCCTGCCAGACCCTCCTGCAGCCAAGGGTGCCCCCCCAGCCCTGAGCTGGCCCAGCAGCAGGAGCCTCCTCCTCCTCCTCCTCCTCATCATCATCCTGTTCCTCCCCAGCAGTGACACCACCTCACGTGCCAGGTGCCTCTGCAGCCCGTCGTGCTCCCCAGTGCCAAGGACACAGGCTGTGGCCACCCCTGCAGAGCCAGGGGGGAGCTGGGGAAGCTGCTGAGCCCGGGGCCGTGGTGGCTCCGCCGCCTCCCCAGGGCTGAGCTGGTGCTGCTGGAGCAGATGGCGCGGCCGCCGTCCTGGAAGCCTGGCAGAGATTTCCTTCCCCACCATCAGCCTCCCCACTGCAACGCTCCTCCTCACATTTTCTGTACAAGTGTTTCTTCCCTCCTGCTCCCTCTGAAGCCAGCTGAGGGTTAACCACCCCGCTCCCAAGGAATTTTTAGCTGCAAACACGACAGGCTCTGATCTTTTGTCACCAGCCCCTGGGAACCTAAGCCAGCTGTGTGATATGCAAATCCATCAGAGCACCACGAAACCAAACCAACCAGCCAACCCCTGCTTATTTTTCATCTAGTTCCTTGCTTTTAGTAGTGGTTTTTATCACGCAGTCAACTGACTGTACAGCGAATGAGCCTGTCACTGTGGGTGGGAGATGACAGCTCAAGAAGGGCTTCTGAGCCCAACCAATCCAGCCCCGCTTCTCCTCTCTGCCTCTTTTCTATTTTAGCTCATCTGGAACTCCACAAAAATTAGCTGGTTTCTAGGAGGCCCAGCTTTGGGTGTGCAGTGAGGCAGGGAAACTGGGAGCCAGGAGCTGCTGTCCCCTCTCACCAGGAGCTGCTGTGCCCTCCTCACCAGGAGCTGCTGTGCCCTCCTCACCAGGAGCTGTCCCCTCTCACCAGGAGCTGTCCCCTCTCACCAGGAGCTCCTGTCCCCTCTCACCAGGAGCTCCTGTCCCCTCTCACCAGGAGCTCCTGTCCCCTCTCACCAGGAGCTCCTGTCCCCTCTCACCAGGAGCTCCTGTCCCCTCTCACCAGGAGCTCCTGTCCCCTCTCACCAGGAGCTCCTGTCCCCTCTCACCAGGAGCTCCTGTCCCCTCTCACCAGGAGCTGTCCCCTCTCACCAGGAGCTCCTGTCCCCTCTCACCAGGAGCTCCTGCCCCCTCTCACCAGGAGCTCCTGTCCCCTCTCACCAGGAGCTCCTGTCCCCTCCCACCAAGAGCTCCTGTCCCCTCTCACCAGGAGCTCCTGTCCCCTCTCACCAGGAGCAGACAGATGCTCGTTGCACGGAGCATCACCAGGAGCTGCCTGAGCTTTGCTTCTGGTGTTGAACACCAGTTCGTGCCCAGGTGCTGTGCTGGTGACACCTGCAGCCCCTCCTGATCAGACAGGTCCCCTCCAGCCCTGCTGTCCACCCCTCCTGGTGCAGATGAAATCTGCTGGTCCTGCTCCTGGCTCCCTCTGTGCATCTCCAGGGGCCGGGAGCTCCAGGAGCAGGGGCTCCGTGCTGGACAGAACAGAGGTACAGGGACATCACACCCTGTGCTCACACAACCCAACAACCCCACGGCTGCACAAACCCCCAGTTCAAACCCTCCTCTCACAGCTCTTGGCACAGACCCCACAGGACAATCTGCACAAGGAGTGTCCCACAACAAGGTGCAGGTTTTGAGGGAATTCCTGGGCCACTGACTCTTCTTTCACAAGCAAAAAAAAGCTCTTGAAGGGCAAGAATTTCATATTTAATAAACACTTCTCCAGTTTATGACCTATTACTGGATGAAGATGCTGTTTCACACCATGGATCCCCTTGAATCTGATTTCCAGCTGTTTGTGGCTTGATGGAACCCTGAACAAGTTCTGCTTAGAAGCATTTTTCACAAACATTCTCACATAAACCAAACACCCAGGATACAGTTTGCAAAGCAAAAGTGCAGCTGGGACACCACTGCCCACTGCAAGCTGCTCTGCCAGGGAGTGCCCAGCCCTGTGGTGCTGTGAGGGTCCTCACAGTCCATGGGCACTTGTGCAGGATTCACCTCTAAGATCATGGAATCCCAGATTGGTTTGAGTTGGAAAGGACCTCGAAGCCCATCCAGTGCCCCCCCTGCATGGGCAGGGACACCTCCCAGCAGCCCAGGCTGCTCCAAGCCCCATCCAACCTGCCCTCCAACACTGCCAGGGATGGGGCAGCCACAGCTTCCCTGGGCAACCTGGGCCAGGCTCTCCCCACCCTCACAGCCCAGAATTTATTCCTAAGATCTCATGGATGAGGCCTGGACTAGTGGCAGGTTTCCCCTCACAGCTCCCCCCCTGCGCTCAGCCCAACTCTGCTGACACATGGGAGGGCAGAAAGTCACACAGGGGCCCTCATGTGCCAGAAGGGGTTGGGGGAAGAAACTCCCCCACCCCTGGCAGTGCCATGGAGAGACTGAGAGGGCAGGAGGCCTGGGGGACCTCTGGGTGCTCGGAGCAGGGCCGGTGCTGGTGCTGCAGGTTCTCAGGACCATGCAGCCCTTCAGTACAGACCACGTGCAACAGCCTGTCCTCAAGGACCTTTGGTTACAAGGCAGGAAAGAGGGTTGAGCCTTTCCCAACCCCTCCAGGAGGTCAAGCCCTCCTCTCCAGGGCAGGATTCCCCCCCAGGTCTCCTTACCTACAGATTTTGTCCGTGGAATTCCTTTGCGCAGGGACACGTGGGGCTTCTCAGCTCCCGGCAGGACCCCCGGGTGCGCGGCCATTCCCTGGCGCTCAAACAGGGACTGCAAGGGAAGAGGATGGAAAGGTCCATTCTGGACATCAGGGGGACACCAACCACACTGCAGGGAAGGGTCCCTCACCCCTGCCTGCGGGGACATGGGGGCTCTGTCACCTGCCAGAGCCTGGCCCTGCCACCCCGTGCCTGCAGCCAGGGCTGCCACAGCCCCAGGACGAGGGGCACTTCCCTGGGGACAAGGACAAGCCCAGGCCTCCCTCCACCTTCCACAGCCCCTTGTCCTCCCCACCCCACATGTCCCCAGACCTGTGCTACTGCCCCTTGGAGGGCTGACCTGCCTCCCTCTCCCTGCCTGCCTGCCCTGTGCTGGCACAGGATGGGAAGCCTTCCCTCTCTCAGCACCAGCCTGGTCCATCCTCCTCTGGCTGCAGGAGCTGCCTCCCCCTCAGGCAGCCCCTCCACCAGCCCAGAGCTGGCAGCCCCCTCCCACTCCATCCTCCCAGCTTTTCTCTTCCTGGTTTCCCCATTTCCAGCTTCACACCCAGACAAGCACAACTGGCTGAGCTCCCCAGCTCAGCTTGTCACATTCCCTCAGCTCCATCTCCCCATGGTGATCCCACCCTCCCTGTGCAATCCCAAACTCCCCATGGTGATCCCACCCTCCTTGTGCAATCCCAAACTCCCCATGGTGATCCCACCACCCAGACAGGTCAGCTCCCCACCCCCTGCCCACACTCCTGCTCACGTCTCCACCTCCCCCAGCCTCTCTCCTCCTGCTGCCCCAGGTTTAACCCACATCCCAGTGCCAGGCTGGGGCAACCCAGCAGCCCCTGTCCCCATGGGCTGTGCTGTCCCCTCTGCCCATACTGTCCCTGTCCCCTCTGTCCCCATCTCCTCAGCCTGTGCTGTCCCCTCTGTCCCTGCTGTCCCCATTCCCTGAACCCTGATGTCCCC